GCAGTTATTGCAATGCCAGCCCATCTGCCGCTGTCTCTCTTCCCCCATTTCTGGCCTGAGCTACTGAACTGACGCAGCATGCGATTTTCAGATCTCACCCCGACACTGCACAGGCTGCAACATTGGTTAAAAAGCAAAATTACCCTTGACGAGGTTCACTCAGCTGAACTTTAGCGGTGGCTGGTAGCGCTCAACTGACCTTTAGTGGTGACTGAATTTGCTCACACCTTCCCAGCGTTGCAGATTGTCCGGGGAACAAGCCACGGTTTCCCCTGCTAGTTTTCATTTGATTCCCATTGACACACATGGAATAAACCCAAGAGTTATTTCTTCCTCGTTTCTGTTGTGGTTCCTGGCAGTCCCCGCCTCCCGCACTTACTGTAAGTCGAGTGTAGCTCATTCCTTGCACTGGTTCTGGAGAGAAACCAGAGACGAGAATCAAGGTAGAGTCTGGTTTGGGGGCAGGGTGTGTATTGGCATCCTGCTGAAGTCCTGTAACTGGCTGCTCCAGGTGAAGGTAGGGAGCCTACCGAAAATGTTGTGTTGCATGGAGAGAGCCGGGTCTTGCCAAAAACACCCCCCCCCCACAGGGGATAGTTTGGGGCTGGCTTCGCTCTAGAGAGATTTGCAGGGCGATGGGAGCAGTGTGGGAGCTGAATGGACGAGCACTCCACTTCCAGACTTTTCTGCCTGATGGGTTCACTCCCCGGTTCAAAGTGCTGGGAAGTGCTCAGGGTGTGGGTGGGGTGGGGGATACGGTGTGCAGTGTAAGTACCGGTTGGTGCAAAGGGCTCCGCTGCAGTTCTCTGCCTTCCTAACCAAGGCTTCCTGTGGCTCCGTGATCCCGCAGGCACGACTCCCGCTGAAGCTGTGTGAAGTCTACAGGATCAGACGCTAGAGCTTGGGTCCCGATTCAGCAAATACTTTAAGCAGCTTGTGTGCTTATAGCCAGGCACATGCTTAAGTACTTTGCTGAATCAGGGCCATAGCCATTTAACTGTCGGTCTCCTCAGGGTTTGGCTCTGAGGGGTGCTGTGCAGCACACGGGCTAGGCTGCATGTCTGTGGCTCTTCAGAATTGCTTCTGGGGTGTCCTGTGTGTCCCGCTGGGGTGAAGCTCACCCTGTGCACAGAGCTAGCACCAGGCCTGTGCACCACAGAAATCCCACTCACCTGGCGTGTGGCCCTGCAACTGCCCCTCTGCCCAGGGCTGAGTTCCCCCATTGGGTCCAGGTCGCGTGGATATTGTGTTGTGAGCTGATCTGTGTCTTCTCAGCCTCTCCATGGTCAACCTGCGCTCGGAGGCTTTAATAGGAGTCCGAATCTTGCTAGTTTGGCTAACACCAGCGCTGAGGCAGGTGGGGGAATTAAACCTTTGCAGGCAGGGGGATGGGGGAGGGTTAGAACCTGAAATTCTTCAGCACTTGCGACAGACGGAGCTGGGTTATCGGTGCTCTGAGCTGGGTTAGCTGCTTGCGTTTCTTTCTTACTCATCTTTGTGCTCGGTGGCCACCTCAGGTTGCAAGAGGAGACGGTGGTGCTCTGCTCGCCAGGAGTCGTTCACCCTGGTGTTACCGTGCGTCCTGGGAAAGCCGACAAGCCATGTAATGTCGTGAGGGGTGCTGGTGGGTTTATATGGGGGTTGGGGGGAGGAGAATCTTCCTGAGGACAACACACACCCACTGTCCGCCCAGCGTGTCTCTTTAATCCCCCAGTGACGTGGTTTTCGTCTGTGGTTCAGGGTTCCCTCTTCCTTTGCATAGACCAAGGCTGTGGCATGAGCAGAGTTTGTCCTGGGAATCCCAAGCCCGAGCCACCGGGTACTGTCCTCTGGTGCTGCATATAGAGGGGCTGCATCCGTGCACGTCTTGGGTGACTGCACTGGAGCCATCCTGACCGTCAGCTGCAGGTAGGAATCCAAGAGCAGCCTTGCTGAACGGGAGCCCGAGGGGTCCCTGAGGCACGTGCCTCGCCCAGAAAGATGAGCAGTCCCACCCTGCTCAGCAAAGCGCGTCGTCCTGGACCGTGCCGCGGCCTTGAAACGGGGGGGCCACGCGCGTCGTCCTGGACCGCGCCGCTGCCTTGAAACGGGGGGGCCAAG